AATTGACAAGAAGTGGGTAGGTTTCTTTCTGGATGCTCTATTCTGTTCCATTGATCTGTGTGTTTGTTTTTGTGCCAGTTCCATACTACTTTGATGACTGTAGTTTTGTACTGTGGTCTGAAGTGAGGGGGTGTACCTCCAGCTCTGTTCTTCTTTCTCAGGATCACTTTGGCTATTTGGGGTCTTCCGTGTTTCCACAGAAATTTTAGAAGTTAAACGGGCCATTTTAGGAGAATATTATTCTTTATTATAAAATCTGAAGAATTATATGGGTTGGTGAATACCAAATATTTTTCATCACATAACCTACCTTCTTGCCACATACAAACTATTAGCCCCTAATTTAGAAAATGCTGATTTAGAATTTTAGAATTAATGAAGATTTAAAACACTTATCACTAGCATACTTTTTTAAAAAAATTTAACCCATTTATGAGTGATCTGAAATGATTTTTCCATATTATGCAGGCTTCCATATTTTGTCTCCCTGTTTAGGTTCCTCAAATAAAAGAAAGAAAGGTGAAAGTATGACAAATGTATTTTATTTGTGAATGTTATCTAAGTTTAATTAATTCAGGTATCCCAAGATTTGTGGAAGAGATACAGTGGAGCTGTATATCATTTATTGTCCCCCATGGCATGCAGAACCATGCTGCCTGGAGACAGTAGGTACCAAAATACTTTTAGAATGGATGCTTTTCTATAGAAGTTCTTTTTGTCAAGTTGACTTTCCCATGTTTGTTGGTTTGAAATGGAAACTTTATTGGAGAATATATCTATATAAAATTTGAAATTGATGCAAAAATGAATTGTGGTGAACATAATCTCTTCTCCATGGTGAATATAATCTCTTCTCCATGGTGAATAGATAGGCATATACTTCCAACTATATAGGTTTCTTTCACAAGGCATTTTCCTTAGCTTCCATCTCAATTTAAATTCCTATAGAGAGTAGTGAGTGTACTGTTCCCAAGCTTGTCACTGCTATTGCTGCATATTAAAAAATAAGGCTTTTAGCTACTTTAACAATAAATTGAGTAGCCAGACTTTTCTCAGATGTTCTCTTTCAATGCCTAGCATACATTTCACTTTTTAAAACTTTAAAAAAAATCTTCTGAATATTTTTTTCTTTATAGCAGCCTCTTCTTTCTAGGATACATAGGATACGATATGTTTTTGTCTCTCTCTTAGGGTGCTAACACTTTTTTAAAAAGTTTCTTCTCTTTGCTTAGTCTATTTTCTCTCAAGTTGCTTAAAAATGATTTTATACAAGTAAATTGGGGTGTTTTGATTTACAATTCAATGAAATTCCAGGTTAATACCAAAGATACGTATCTAACTTTGTTCTTATCTGAAACTCCGCCAAAACAGTATTAAAAGGATTTTCTTTAAAGATATAAACCCAGAAGTTTGAGTGGACTGGAAAAGAATATAGTAACAAAATGTTGGAAGCTAGAAAGCAGATGGATATGTGTGCAGAAAAGAGTTATTATAGTATGCCTAAGACTGCTATCCTTAGAAAAGCCTGCTTGTAAGGCTGGTACTTGGTTGGCATTTGGGAACTTGGATTTTTGGGAATATTCCCACCATTCCCAAAATGATAAAGGTATTTCATTATGCCTAGTCTGCTTGTGTAAAGAATATGGTTTATTCTCAACACCTGGCTTCCTTCTGGGAGCCTGGAATTTTGGTGTTATACAGAGTGCTTACATGACTAAGCCCCAATAAAAAACTCAGCACTGAGTTTCTAATGAGCTCCCCTGGTAAATAACATTTCACATGTGCAGTTACAACTCATTACAGAAGCAATTAAGCATAACCTGTGACTTCACTGGAAGAGGACTCTTGGAAGCTTGTGCCTGGTTTCCTTTGGACCTTACTCCATGTGTCTTTCCCTTTGCTGATTTTACTCTAACCTTGCACTGTAACAAACTGTGACCATGAGTGTAACAACCGTGAGTCCTCCTAACCAATCATCCGGGATCCCCAACAGCAGTGTGATGAATACTAAGCCAGTAGTGAGGAGGACTGAGAATCAACCAGATACATATTTTGGAATCTTCAAAAGGTGCAGGAACCAAGAGAACCAAGTATCACTGGAAATGAGAGGTGGAGGTGACTAAAATAGGGGTAGATAAAAGCTGTTAAAGAGCAGTTAAATCCCTAAATCTCTTTCCCTAGTCCATGCCCTGAAATGCCACTTACTCATCCTGGCAGATATCTGGGTGTTTATTCTCTGGAGATGCTACTCTGGCCTGAAGTATGAAAGTTAGATGGCAGACACAGTTGATAGTTTGGTATCATCCTAAAAACAGAGAGATTAGTTATGAATGCCAAGTAAAGGGATTTTCCCATGCCCAAACCCTCTTCCCTGACTAAGGTGTCAAAATGCTGTAGAGTAGACTTTTATTCTCTGAAGCAATAGAATATTTTTTGCCCTGAGAACTCTGATCAGCCCAAGAGGAAAGATCTAAATATACCAGCATCGGGGTTCCTTAACAAATTGTCCAGCCAGATCACCTACAGTGTGCACACACCTCACCCCACACACTTAGTTTCCATTCTTAATTATGAACAGACAGCCAAGGATAACCAGATAGCTCAAAAGTTTTTAATAAAAGATAGAGATCACAACAAACTAATAGAAAAAAGAAAACTATACAGAAAGAAAAAACTAAACAAACAAAAAACCCTATCATTAGCAGACTCAGAGAGATAAGAAAAGATACTGCACTCATGAAACAAAATGTTGTTAATAAAAAAAATTCAGAGAATAAAAAAGAGCGCACAGAAGTTAAACATGCCAGTAGAAATGAAAATGTCAAGAGAAGGGCTGGAAGTTGGGGAATCTCCCCCCAAAATAGAGCAAAAAGACAGATGACAAAAAGGAGAAAAGAGGTAAGAAAAAGATCTGTCTTGGAAATCCAACTTCCAAATATTAGGAGATCCAGAGACACAGAAACAAAGGAGGAGAGAAGTCAATGAAAAATTCAAGAATGTTTTCCCAAAGGCATCAAGGATACAAGTGACTAAATTGAAAGGGCCTGTTCAGTGCCCAGAAAAATGGATAGAAAACAGACCTAAATGAAGAGATACAATTTTAGAACACTAGGGTCAAAGAAAAATCTACTAGCTTTAAGTAAGGAAAAAAACAATTCACATTGAAAGGATCAAGAATCAGAATGGCTTTCAAGCTTCAATAACACCACTGGAAGTAGAGCAATACCTTAAAAATCCTCAGGGAAAATTCTCTTCCACCCAGAATTCTGTAGCTGCCTAAACTATCAATCAAATATGACAGTAAAGTAAAAATACTTGATACAAAAAGCCTCAAAAAATTGCTTATCAAGCATTCTTTCTCAAGAAGGTTCTAGAGGATTACTTCACTGAAAGGTATGCAATGCAGTGAAGGATTAATTCAGCAGGCCTGAGTTGTCTAAACCCTGCATATTCCAAAGAAAGATCTGGCTCTTGCTAGCTCTTGGAAGATAATTTCTGAATAATTGGAATATCGTGCCTGATAAGAATGTCTCTGTTTACCTAGCCATACTGGATAATTTATGCTGACAGTGTGATTTATGCTGTAGGCCTGGGCCATGTGGTAACAGTTTGGCCTTCGAAGAGGCTGGAGACTGAGTAGTTATAGTCTGCCAGGAAGATGCTCCATGCTTATTGGACGAATCCCCAATAAAAACCCTGGACACTATGTCTTAGGTGAACTCTCCTGGTCGGCAATACTTCGTAGGTGTGGTCACATGTGGTTGCTAGGAGAATAAGCGTTGTCTGTAAGACTGCTGGGAGAGGACAACTGGCAGCTTGTCCTGGTTTCTCCTGGACTAAGGGAAACCTTAGAGATGTAATTCAATAACTTAATTTTATAAATAAAGTTGTGCTTTAAAGATTAAGTGGACTGTTCAGGAATACACAGGAAATTAAAAAGATTAAAACCCAGGCGTCCTGACTCCTAATTCAAGGTTCATAGAGATCCTGGTTTTCTTGGTTATATTTGTATGTTTAGATCTTTGATGGTACATAGTTCAATTTCCTAATTTTTAAGGAGACAAATATTTCTTTATTAACAGTAGTGTCATCTATATGTCAACACAACTACTTTTAGTTGTTCAAGATTTGCAGAATTAACATGCCCAAGGAAAATATATTCAGGAACCAGATTATCTGTTCAGTAAAATGTAATGAACTAGCAACAGCTTAACACCTTCATTCTGTGTTGTTTTGCAGACTATCAAGTACTTTATCATACCCTTTACTTAAATGGAAGTAGATTTTTTTAAAAAAGCATAAATAACTAATTTTTTTAGGAATGAAGTATTAATTTTATAAGTGAGAAGGAAAATTGGTGAGCTTTCATTTTTGAAAATTGCCCTGAACTATAACAGGTTACTGTGGACTGCTCATTGGTTTACTATGGACAGCTCTTTGAAGATAATTTAACATATCTTATATTAAGGAATATACAGAATTTATTTCTGAACTGAGAGTCTCATACATTAGAGATTTACACTCCTCAGGAAACTAATCTAAATTGAATTTGTGCTGAAACTGTGCTATCCTTAGAAAAGTTTTTCCAACACTAAATCCCCCATTGTATATAACTGATTTTTCATAAAGCCTTTCATGCTTTTCCAACTAGGAAGACAGCAGAATTACTTTTTGTAAAGATAGAGACAGAGAGCCAGATTCATTGGAGAATATTGGTCTGACAGATAATGGTGGGGGAAAAAAGGGCAGAATGTATCAGAATAAGTAATAGAATACCCCAGGGAAGAAAAAAGCAGAAAGAACACCACTTACTTTCTTTCTATCTGACTTCTTAAGGACAGTAACAGTTCGAACATAATCGGGTGATAAAGATCACGCACGTTAGCTTAAAACCTGCTAATCTCATAAGACAAAAAAGTTCTCTAGAGTACACCGTATCACCTCAAACCAGCTCAGGTGGTTTGATCAGTAATTGGACAAAGTCCTACACAATAGCTGAGGAAAGAGCACAGAAGTTTAAGAAAATATTACTTAAACATTTTTATTCTGAGAGACTGAAGCTGGAAAAAATTGTAGATTGCAATCAATGTGCTAATGAAAAATGGCAGCTGTAACAGAATTTTTGTAAAAAGTTAGACCATTCAGATTTGAAATATCCAGCTACATCTTACCTTAGAAAGAAGATGATTCTAAATATTTAAATATTTATGTTCTAAACAAACTAAACTTTTCTTAGTTTTAACATGGTATGTGTAACTTTTAAAAACGGCATTCATACCTTAGAGCTAGAATTCATAGACACTATATTAGATGTCAGAACTAGGTCACAAAGTAAGAAGAGTTTTTAAAAAAAAGAAACCCTTAGGTTCTAGATGCTTTATTAGTGTCAGACTATGGGAATTACAGATGTCTTAGATATCATTGCAACTAACAACTTTACAGATTAAACAACTGGCTCAGAAAAGTAGTGATTTGGCAAATAACAATCAACCAAGTAGAATAGAATTTGAGTCTCAGAATTCTAGATTCTCAGAATTCCAGCTCAGGACTACTGATGAAATTATACTATTTTAAACAGACCAACAGATCCCTTCACAAAGTTAAAATAAAAAGATAACAAGGATACTTAATTTATAAATGTTGGTCTTTATTTAAAACAAATCAGATGCAAAGTTCTACTTTGCTAAATTAGAGATTCCAATTTTATTTGTGCAGATGAAGAGAAGGAAACATTTCTTTTAAACTCCTTTATCATGAGTTTGCTCAACCATCCAAATCAGTAAGCACTGATCACATATGCAACTGCTGAAGAGCATGAAAAATTTCCTTCAAAACAAATGTACAATAGTGGCTGACCTAAAGCAATGTATAGTGTAGTAGAAGAAAGCAGACACTGATGGTGTATCACACGATGTATGGTACTTTCTTTACATTTGGTCAGATTTAGAACATGAATTTCCCGTAAGTTAAGGTATAAATTACTTAGAGTTCACTGTAACTAATGTTGAAGGGTATTAAGTGTAACTTAGCTCTGTTAATATGGATATTATAAAGAGAAGATTGTGCTGATCTGTTTTATTCCTCTAAAGAAGATAATATAGAAGAAACAGAAGAGGGAGAAGAAAATACAAATCTGTAGCCTATGGGTTAAATTTGATCCACAAAATATTTTGTTTGCCTTATCTGGTGTTAGCCAATGGTATTTCAAAACAATACTTCAATATCCTGTCATTATTTAAAAAACAGATTTCCCATTTAAAAAAATCCAGTGATCCAGCAATCCCACTCCTGGGCATCTATCCAGAGGAAACCTTAATTCAAAAAGGCACATGCAGCCCAATGTTCATGGCAGCACTATATACAATAGCCAAATATGGAAATAACCTAAATGTCCATCGACAGATGACTGGATAAAGAAGCTGTGGTATATTTATACAATGTAATACTACTCAGCCATAAAAAAGAATAAAATAATGCCATTTGCAGCAACATGGATGGACCTGGAGATTGTCATTCTAAGTGAAGTAAGCCAGAAAGAGAAAGAAAAATACTATATCACTTATATGTGGAACCTAAAAAAAACAGAAAAACATTTACAAAACAGAAATAGAAAACAAACTTATGGTTACCAAGGGGGACAGGGGTGGGAAGGGATAAATCGGGAGTTCAAGATTTGCAGATATTAACCAATATATATAAAGTAGATAAACAACAAATTCATAGGTATAGCACAGGGAACTATATGCAATATCTTGTATTAACTTATGGTGAAAAATATGAAAACAAATACATGTATCTTCATGTGTGACTGAAGCATTATGCTGTACATCAGAAGTTGACACAACATTGTAAACTGGCTATACTTCAATAAAAATATTTTTAAAAAATTAAAAAATCCAAATTTCTGATTTCTCTTGAAAAAAATCAGATGATTTGGCAATGCTATCTTGCAGCTGGAATGGAATCAATGTAGCTGCCCTCTTTAGATATGTGCTCTCTAGTACACCATAGTCACTACCACTCCCTACTATCTCTCAAATGGTGGTATCCAGGGTCCTCTAGGCCTTTGAGTTGAGGACCCCTGTTTTAAAGAAGCACTGTTTCTTTTTTTTTTTTTGAGGGGAAAGTGTAGATAACGGGAAAAAAAGAAAGAAAAAAGGTAGAGAAAGTTCTGCGGTGAAATTATATATTCAGGATTTCCCTTACCCAAGGATATTTGGGATATGGTGAACAAGGGCTTCATTCATTCAATAAATATTTATTAAATACCTACTACATGTCAATTATTAACTTAGGTACTAGGGATACAGCAAGAACAGACTTGGTTCCTATTCCTATAATGCTTATAGTTTAATAAGCTCCCACAAAGAAATCACACAAATATAAAACTGCAAATGCACAAAAGATATGAAAGAAAGAAGCAATGTCCTCTGAGAGTCTATAATTTTAGAATCTAATCTAGTTAGATAGTTGGGGGAAGGCTTTCCTGAAGAAGTGTTGCCCTGGAGCTGAGAGTATATAAGAGAAGAAAGAAAGAGCATTCTAAGTAGAAAGAAAAACAACATGGCAATATGGAAAGTCTCTGGGAAAGAAGGGGAATGGTAAGTACAAAGGACTGAAAGAATGCTAAGGGTGGCTCAAGTGGCAGGGAACGAGGAGTATAGTATGAGATGAGGCTGGAACCACGAAGTGCTTTGTAGTAGGCATAAAAGAGTTCGACTTCTAAGAGTAACCAGAGCCAGTGGAGGAATCTGGGCGTGGGACTTTTATAATTAGATTTTTATTTAAAAAGGATAACTCTGGCAAGAGTGTGGAGAACGGACTTGTGAGAGCCAGAGGATACAGACATAGCGATTAAGAGGCCAACTGCCGTAGATTAGGCAATAGACAGATGGTAGTATGCAGCAGGCATTATGGATGGGAAGAAGTGAATGAACTAACAGATGTTAGGAGGTAACAGACAGGATCTGGCACTGGGGTGAATGTGAGGTATGAGGGAGAAGGCACCATCAACAACTCATAGGTCTCTGAATAGATGGACAGCAGTGCCAGTCACTGAGGTTTAGGGGAAGACATGTGTACGGTGGGGAGGGAGGAAGAAAGATCATGAGCTCAGTTTGGGATATGCCAAGTCTGAGGGCTTCAGATATCCTTGAGGAGATGTCAAATGGGTAAAGAAAACAGAAAGTCAGAGCTCAAAGGAGCAGTCTGTGTTAGGATCATAGATATGTATGTGAGTCATCTGCTTTTAAGTGGTATGACACCAAGAATTTGGATGCAATCACTTGGCAAGAGCAGGGGACCTTGGCTTAGGTCTTGAGAAACTTCCACCTCTGATGGCAAGGCAGAGGCAGATGAACATGAAGAGAGGCAAGGCAGTAAAAATATCCAGGACAGTGTGCCAGCCAGTGGAAGTGTTAAGGGGGAAAAATATGGAGTCAACTGCTGCTGAGAGATTAATTTGGGTGAGGACTGCAAAGTGTCTAATGAACTTGTTGATATGAAAGTCACAATGAGCCTTAGGCAACAGCTATTTTGGTACAGTGATGGGACAAAGCAGATTAGAGTGGATGCAGAAGTGAGAAGATGGTGAGTGCATACATGGTCACCCCTGAAGAAGTTTGACTATGAAAAAAAGTATGGGGTAGCTTTTGGTTTTGTTAAGCCTCTATTACTATGTTTTATGTTTTATTAATCCCACATTCATTTCCTGCTATTTGTTTCCTTTGGGTTTATCTTTTTTTTTTCTAACATAAATTGGATGCTTATGTAGCTTGTTAAATTTCAGGTTCTTCTTTTCTAATGTAAACATTTAAAGTTCCACATTTGCCAACTTAGCTGCTTCATTAAAGTTCTGATATGTACTATTTTTAATTATCATATTCTAAGTATTTTCTAAATTCCCCTGTGATTCCATCCTTTATCCATGTTTTCCTAAGTGTTTAAATTTTCCTAAACTTTCACAGATTGTTTGTGTTATGGAATACAAACAATGCTTTGAGGGTGAGAGAATGTAGTCTAAGAAGCCCCAATTCTTTGAAATTTAATACTAATAGCTAATAGCACTACACAGGTACCACTCTAAAGATTTTTATATGAATTAATTTACTCCTCACAATAATTCTATAGGGTATGTAGTATTATTATTATTCTCATTTTTATAAATGAGGACATAGGCACAGAGAGATTAAGTAATTTACCCACGTAAATTTATGAAGTTATACAGAAGTGGAAAGTGACGGGGCTATACTTTTTACAATTCTTCCTCACTTTAGGTTTTACTCAGATTTAAATTGCAAACAGAACTCTGTACTGTTTGCTTTTTTTGTTGTTTGCTTTTGCTTTTGCTTTTGTTTTTTCTTTGCAGGGGGAATCAATTTCATTTAGGTATACGAGATGTATGACATAGTGCAATGCATTTAGGGTATACAATTCAATGAGTTTTGTCATACATATATAACCTGTGAAACCACCACAACAATCAAATACAGAATATTTCCACACCCACTAGATTTCATCCTACCCCTTTGTGGTATATCCTTCCCTTCTGCCACAGACCCCAAGCAATTGGTGATCTACTTTTCATGATTATAGGTTAGTTTGCATTTTCTAAAACTTAATATAAATGTAAAGATATAGTATGAGCTCATTTTTGTCTGGTTTCTTTCATTCTACATACTGATTTTTAGATTTATCTCTGTTGTTGTGTCTATTACTAGCATGTTCCTTTTTTTTACTACCAAATATATTCCTTTGAATGGTTATATCATTTTTTGTTTATCCCTTTGCTTTTGATGGATATTTTGGTTAATTTCTGTTTTAGGCTATTGTGAATAAAGCTACTGTGAACATTCATATTTAAGTTTTTTGGCATGGACATGTGCTTTCACTTCTCTTGTGTATCAAGAAATTCAATAGCTATTTTATGACATGTTTCACTTTTTAAAGACTGTCAAACTGTTTTCCAAAGTGGTTGTGAAAATTTACATTTCTGCCACCAGTGTATGTGTT